TCCTTTCCATCCGATTGTACGGCTGAGAAAAATATTACTGCAGCGTACGGCAAAGAAGAGTAGCTTTTCACATGAAAATCTAGGGATGAATCAATCACCTATATTTTAGGATTAAAGTATACAGTAAATATTTGACTTTAGAAATCTCTCAATATATCCCGTAGAAAAAAATAGTTGCGAAAAATTCTATGGAATCGATTAATACATTCGCATCTCACTGGCTGAGAATTTTCACAAATTTGAAATAACAATGATGCGAAATAATCCTGAACAACAAAAGCATTGATGTTATCGAGTTCTTCTACGAGAAATTTCTATGAGAAATGATAAAACGATCAGAAAAAGAAATCGACTATACTTCTATTTTGAATAAATTAAAGTGTTATATAAAATGTTTCACAGACAGTTTTAAATTTAATCAGAGATTTTTCGATCAACTAGCAAATAAATCTTCTAAAAAGACTTGCGGAAATGCAGAATGAAAAGGAATCATCATTTATCATATCTGTTTTTGTCACTTAGCTTTAACTTGAAATTCTATTAAAATTCGCTTGACATTATCTAAGGAACGAATTTATTATCCTTATAAGCTTTCCTGAAGTTTTCTTGATAGTTAATGATCTTTTTCAATCGTTTACAAATCGATAATCATTAATGTTTCAACATTTTTGCTGAAACAATTAGAATTCAAGGATCGTTTAATCTTATCAAATTATTAGCGTCTTTTTACTACAGTGGACTTGAACCAATTTGGTTGGATTAATGACATCACATGTTATACTATTCGCCATTTACCAATAGTAAAGCATGCAATGCATCAATTCAATCCAGATCCGTTCAAATCCACTGCAGTCGAAAATGTTATAAGATTGCAAGATGTCCTGCAAGACACGTGGCAAATGTCTTGAAGACGTTTCTTCGATAAGTGGGTTATTGGGACGAGCAAAGTGTTAGCGCTCTAGGGAAAGAAGAAAGATAAAAGGAAAGACCTTCGAATGCGCCGAAGATCTGCTGACGTTCGAGGCGTCATGTAAGATAACCACGTCCGTATAGTAAACTATTATCTGTCCACCATATGCTTCCATTATTCCAGTTATCTGCTTCCTCATACTTACATAACATGTATCCTCATAAACTTGAGCATTTCTATATTATTCGTTGCAGAGAGAGAGAAAGATAGACAGAGAGGCTCGTCCTTGAATAGGAATTAATAGAAAGAAAATTGGGTCTTATAATATTCATATTTTGAAATATTCTCTTTATTTATGAATTAAATATTAACATTTATTATTATATTTATTATTATATTTATATGTATCTAATATGATATTAATTATAATATTATTATGTATGTTGCATTAATTACTCTTTAAAAATTATAATATTTATTACATAAATTAAAATCAAATGAAAAATTATTATTTATTCTTGCAATATGATATTCTATTCTACTGTGATATTTTACTTTAAAAAATTATCACGATTTTCTAAAGCAATTTGGTATACATTCATAACTCAATTTTATTTTTAACGTAATTAATAATTATTTTAACTGATTAATATCGTTAAAAACTCTTTAGTAGAGAGAGAGAGAGAGAGAGAGAGAGAGAGAGAGAGAGAGAGAGAGAGAGAGAGAAAGAAAGAGAGAGAGAGAGAGATTACAGTCTCATGATTATCAGATAGAATAATATCTAAATACATATATTATAACTAAACGCCGAGGTAGAGACAAAGTTTAAAATTGATTTGTTATTATTTAATACATATTATTATTTATTATATTATTATTTATTAATTTTAATATTCAAATATTGATGAAATATTAATCCTTTGTGAATCCAATGATTTCATTTAAGATAACCCTCTTTTATTTTAATTGTAAATTGCTCGCTCAATTTTTATGAAATTTGACCTATGAGGTAATTTTTTCATAATGCTTTATTCGAATCTGAGTAATCTTGAATAAAAAAGACTAGTGAAAGTTTAATATGGCGAAACAGAAATTATATAAAAAATAGTAATTGATTATCATGAAACTTAGTTTTAGGGAGTTTTTAATTGCAAAGTAAAATAAATATCATATCAAATTTCCAATTTTGCTTTATTTGAAGCTTATCAGTGTTACATACTTAAACAATTATTACTGACCTTCAAACTCTGATTACAATTATTACAAACAATTATTTCCAAATTAACTTTCAAGCTCTGATTATGACTCTGTAACACTAGACCTTCTTTTATGGTTACTATTCTTTTAAATTTGATATTTTCAGGATACAAGCAAATTCAGAAGTGCTTCACGATAATCAAATTATTTCTTTGAAATTGAAATTTTAGAATTTCAAGACCTAAATCGAATTTATTTTAGCGATCTAAAAATTTTTGGGAAGCAAAATCTTCCATAATTTATTCTGTTAGAAAGTTCTGTACTGAAAGAGGTGTTAAAGTTTTTTTAATTTTAGAATAAAAATAATTAAGAGAAATTTTTTTGTTATTGCTG